TTAGATTGGAGTAAGGTCAAGAAATCTGATCAAGAAGCTGAATTTTAGCTCAGTAATCAGATTTCTCAGTGCATATAAACTCTTACTCTGATTTCTTTTGGATTTCTCAGTCTACAGGTGTGAAAACAGATGGCGGTGCTGGAAATAAGCAGCAGCTCTGCCAGGAGACGCAGCAAAACACTTTTGGAGCGACGCTGAAACCAATAACATGCTTGAAGCAATGAAGGATTTAAATATTCTTCATCTTCAAGATCAGGGGTGTCAAACTCAACCACTAAAAGGACAATATTAAAGAATCTCAACAAATCTGTGGGCCAAAGAACATCTATGTTTTAATTCATTTTTAATTAACATTGTGCAATAAACCGAACTGACCACTGTTTATTCAAAATGCACAAAAACTTCAGCAGTAAAATATAAGCACTTATAGTAAACCTTGAAATATTACAGAAATACTTGAAATATTCTAAATGTGCTGGGTCCTGGGTCCATTAAATCTACCTATTTGCTTGAACTAGACACCTGGCATCTTTTCTTTGCTGTAAGTTCGTTAATACTTCGGCTCAATTCCTGAGCTGCTGTGCTGAAGTGTTTATATTGGCTGAACTGCAGTTTGGTGATATGACTGGTGTGTAATTGTGTAAAATTGAGGTGTAACCACTGTCCAATAGATTGTTGTTGGGGTAGGAGCACACATTACATTGCAGTGCATGCTGAGGACTGTAGTGCAGCGTATTGTGGAAATAAAAATACTTTTGCGTGCCGGACACGGGCCTTGTGTTTGACACATGGGTTCTAGATGATGTATGATGTATGCATATTTTCAGGTAAAGTGGCTCAATGTTTTTTTTTTTTTTTTAAAAAAAAGCCAGGACATGAAGTTTGAGTTTTACATAACATAAACATCACGTCTTCTTCTGTGTGTTTATTGGCTGGTTGCAAAGCAGAAATCTGATTACTGCCCGACTAATGTAGACCCAGAGTTTCCCTGTTATCTGATTACTCAGTGCATGCAAACACGTTGATTAGATTACTGACAAAATCTGATTTTCTGCAGTTATCGGATTATTAAGTGCATGTTAACGCACTCCTTGAGGGGGCACTGTATCTGCAATGGAAGATGAAGTAGCTGGTACCAAAAGGGAGCAGAGTCGAGTTGAGCTGGTACCATGCGGTGGAAAATTGGCTCTTGTTAGCTCTGTTATACATGTCTTAGGTTAGCTTTTGCTTAGTGGTTAGCTTTCTCTGACCTGAATGGAGAATGCTTACCTTTTCAGCAGGACAAGCCACATTAACCTTCTGATTGGTGTGGATAGTGCTTACATGAGTGCTACCCAAGCTTAGAACCGAAATGGGAGAATTTTTGGGAAAACACATCAGCCATTAATTGGACGCTGGAATTCATAGGCCACACTTTGTACATATATTGTGTGCCCATAAGAACAAGATTAACCTAATTAGAAAGAGAACATGAATTCAGGTTCCCTGGAGCTCTGAGCGTTTCTCCCCACCTGATTTTCTGGTAGCGAAGCGTTACTTCACCTACCGCGGTGTGTGTGCTAGTGTTTATGAGATTCTGTTGACACTGGAGGGATAGTTTGTGTGTGAGAGAGGGAGATAAGTATTACAAAGCAGCACTCTGAGGTGAGAAATGGTGCTTACATGGGTGATTTTTAATGGAAAAAGTATATATTTATATACACACAATCAACCTGTTAGCAAAAAACATATTCAGCTCTGACATTATTTACTGAAACCTGAAGGAAACTATTTATATGACGTTAGCAAAAGCTCACAAACAGATATGAGCAACGTACGTAATTTGACAAAAACGTACACACGTCCTCCTTCGCCAAATGTAGTCAATCAGCCAGGCAAACACACACGGTCTCAGAAGTTTGCTTCATTAGAACTACGAGGCTAAAGGTACGGTCTTAAATAGGTTCACTTGTTTTTTACTAGGGAAAATAGTTCTATTAAGAATCATGAACACTCAAAAGAACCCTTCACATGATTAAAGCGTTCTTTGCGTCATGAAAGGCTCTTCAGATCGATGGAAAATGTGCTATAGATGATTATACTTAGAACCTTTTTGAAAAGGGTTCTATATAGCACCAAAAAGGGTTCTGCAATTACGATGATAAGCTTGTATAAATACAAGAACCCTTTATAACATCCACAATACATTCTCCATCAATCTGAAGAACTATTTCACCAGGCAAAGAACCCATTAATCATACAAAGGGTTCTTTGAGTGTTCATGGTTCTATACAGAACCATTTTCCTAACTAAAGATCCCTTGAAGATCCTTTTTTGTGTTTTTAAGAGTGTAGCTAACAAGTAATGGAAGATTGTTAGTGATTTGCATGGTGCCAAGTATCATCACACGCACTGCATCTTAAATCTAGTTAACATATTTAATATTTCTCATTGCGAGATTGTTATAAGAACAATTTACAATTATTTTAGATGTATTTATGTGCTTTAGGTTATTTTATCTGGAGAAATTGCTTGTTGCAAGACATAATGCAGATTTTTTTTGGCACATTTTGAGATGTCTAGAAGTAATTCATCAATATGTATACAATAATCTCAGAATGAGAAATGTTAGCTATATTGACAAGATTAAAAGATTTTACTTGATATTTTTTATGATTTTTTTGCAGCACACTCGCCTCAATCTGTGTAAAGTTGTTCAGTATCTCTAATAGTCTTGATTATGAGGTTTCTGACACTGTATGAATCACTTATCTATAAACATGGACTAAAGTACATCAGCATAGCTTAAGACATGAGGGCTAAAGCTGTGCTGAATTGGAAGTGGGAAGCTCTGAGGTACATCATTGTAATGTTTCAGCTACAAAGTGGGGAAAAAATATGGACTCTCCATGGAAGCAAGTACTGTTAGCAACAAGCTAGCCAGCTAATGTTCGTGATATGAGTGATGACTTAAATGTTCATAATGTGTTTACGGTCTCAAAATAATGTACGGTCAGTGTTATATTTAACTAGCTATTGTAGCTGCATACAGATAGCAAATAATAAAGCTAATACTGCTAAAGCTAATGCTAAACCTGGAAAAGAGGACAACTTCACAGCTTTCTGAGTAAGAATTCCCAACTGAGGGGGCATTTTCTTTGTTTTGTTCCTAGTTGTAAATCAGAAATGAGTTTCAGGCCCCAGTCAGATGCGATATCAGCTTTCACTTCTTGTTAGCTACATTAGCCTCGTAGCCTCAGTGCTAAAATTAAAGAAACAGACGGCAAACACGTCTGAGCTGATCAGCTACATTTAGAGTAATGTATATAATGTTTCCTCAATGTCAGTTTAACTAAATGTTCACATTCTCATGCATTTCTTAAAGGATGATGAATCTCCTTAAACCTGGTTCATCTTCAATAAGCGCTACAGTTGCTCAATTTATCATTTGTATTGTAAGAAGCTGCTACACAGTACTCTGAAGGACACTCTCGGTCTGAAACATGAGCTGCTGTGATGAGTTGGAGGTTTGTCTACTTCTGGCCAACGATGGGGCGAGCGATGAGCTCCTTCATGATCTCATTGGTGCCTCCGTAGATGGGCTGAACGCGGGCGTCCGCAAAAGCCCTGAAAAAAGATGAACCACGTGAGAAACCGTGCAAGAAACATGTGAGAAACCACAGATAAACACATCAGGAGCCACATCAGGAGCCACAGCAGGGCATTTAGCATAAAGCTGGGGACTACAGCACAGTTTAAGCAGCTCAGATCAACAGGAAAGCCGTCCTTCGTTATGAAAGGTGAAACTCAAGCCACAGCTGAAGCATCTACATCAGCAGTACTGAAGGGGGGGAGGCGCACAGTTTTGTTTTATTACTGAATTAGACAAAAATTAGCCAAGATAAATAACCATTTAATACTGTGAACACATTTAAAGGGCTCATAACGCTTACTTTCAAGTCCATACAGGACATATATGGAAACTAAGCTGCAAAACATCTGAGCCTGTTTTGAACCCATTGCTTTTTGATGTCACAAAAACCAGTGCCCATTCAGTTTAGCCCCGCCCATTCACACTGAAGTTATAAAGAGTGCTTCCACTTGGACTGCTCAATAACAAAAAACAGGTTGTTTAATTGTAAGGGATAATGAGAGGTCCCAAAATGGTCATTTCCTATATTTGGTTTATAAAATCACACAAAAATGATGAGCTGAATTTTTGGAGGCTCTTTTACTGCCCTGTTGCGGCTCCACAGAAGAATTACATGTTTAGGTAAATTAAAATAATCCTTCTTTGCAGTAAAACAAAGCTCTGCTGATCGTTCTGACACAGTTTTAACAATAAATGGTCTTAAGCGCTGGAGTTAATGTAGAACTGCTAATTCACCCTTTATCCCTTAAGGTTGGCACGCAGACGCAGACAACAATCTCACTTAGCTAGTAGCTAACGAAAAAGCAAAGAGAAAGATTTAAGACGAACATCGATTATTTAGAGACTAATGGACTTATTTGCGTTTATTGTTTATCCATCAAGCTGTTTTCCTGATATGTTTAATCTGCAACAAGAAACTGTCGAACAATATAATGTCGCAAAGATGAAGTCTGCATCTCATTCGCCAGCTTCCGGTTCCCGTTCCATCTTAAATGGTGCCACAATGCGACTGCTGCACCATTTAAGGTGGAACAGGAAAATTCAAACAAGAAGCTGGAGAATGAGAAGCTGACCTCAGCCTTGGGCGGAAAATAAATAAAAAATAAATAAAACATTTTACAAGATGCTATTCTACTTGTGCGGAAAAAGTTTCCTACCAGAGACGCAAGAAAAGCAGCTATAGCTGAGATAAGGCTTAAGGCAGAGCAAGGTAAGTGCATTTTAATTTATATTATATTTTTAGCTTGTAGTAGGACATTAGCACATGCTGAAACATATTTACAGCCAAAATGATAAACATTACTTTAAAAAAAAATGAACATAAAATTTTGTGGCTCCAAAGGTGGTTTGATTTTTGTTAAAGGACAAAATGGCTCTTCCTAACATTTTGGTTGCGACCCCTTGTGAGGGATATACATCTACATCAGATTCAGGGAAGTCTTGCTGATCGGTATAGGCTTTCTCTGATTACTGGCGTCAAATGTTACATTAGTCACACATGGGTCATGTTGTGGGCCTTCATAGCTGCTGTGGTTGGTCATGACTTGTAAAAGACTGATTCAGTTCTTTCTGGAATACATGCAGAACCTTTTTAACCTACACCATAGAGAATCAGATCAAGCATGCCAGAAGAGTCTAATGTCACCATGAGCATTCACATCTACTGTTCCAGCACATGCTGTGAATACCAGAGCCAACAGCACAGAGCCAGACTGAATAAACACTGCCCCCTACTGGTCAGACCCACACTCAGAATACTTTAATGCACTTATTTCACACAGAGTTGCATCATATATGGGATTCAGGCAGGAGAAGAACGACACAGAAGCTTACACTGTCAGAAAAAAAGGTTCTGTGCAGTTACAATTTCCATTTGTCAATGTTCAAACAATGTAAATGTACCGTCTAAAGTATAAGAATGGATTTAAGGTCCAACTGTGCTGCTTAAATGAGTTTTTCCCCAGGGGAAGGGAAGATATTTGTACGTTTTCATAATTTAATGTTTTTAAGCAGAACAATAAAATGCCTACAGACAAGACAGGATGTATGGATTCAACACAACTACAAAAAATATAATTGCAATAAATTATTATACAATTAAGTTGCCTAACTAAAGTATTTGTTTACCTTCAGCAGTTTATGATTGGGTAGTTGCTTCAAGCCTTTCAGAAAAAAAAGTCTGTGTAGCACAGAATGTTTAACTGCTTTGTCATATAATAACAGCTATAAATTATATAATTAATGAAATAAAGTGTCTTGTCCATACATTCAAGACATAAAATAAACAAAACATGAGCATGTATCATATGAAGCGAATGTGGAGTGGAGCGTTTTTTCTGACGTGTGAGCAAGGAACGAGTGAAAAAGAAAACCTGGAGCAGAGCTGGAGCTAACACACTCTGAAAGGTACTGAAGACGTACCCTTGAGGGGACCGCCCGTGACACTTTAGTCCCCGTTTTTTCCTGAGACTGTGATACACAGACTGTACAAACTGGTATAAATTAGATTTTTCTAAGTTTGATTTCCTCTGATGGGCTGTTGTAACAGTCACTTACTTGGCGATTGGAAATTCCCACATGTAGCCCCACCCTCCGTGCAGCTGCAGACACTGAGTGGCCACTCTATTCTGTAGGTCTGATGCCCTGGAGAGAAGAAAAGAGCCAAAAAATAAAGTGAGAAAAGAAGAAGAGACAAAAGAAGAGGTGTAATGAGGTGAGAACAGACATGAAGAGAAGAAATGACAAAAGAAGAGAAAATACAAAAAGAGAAAAGAAGAGAGAAGAGAGAAATGAAGATAAGAAGTAACAAAAGAAGGAGAAGAAGTAAAGAGAGAAGTGAGAAGAGAAGAGGTAAGAAGAGTAGAAATAAGTGAGAAAATAAAAAGTGAGAGAAGAGGTGAGAAGAGTAGAAAAGAGAGGTGAGAAGTAAAGGAAAAGAGAAGGAGTGAGATAGGAAGAAAAGAATTGAGAAGAAAAAAGAAGAGAAGGGAAGGAATGAGAGGAGAAGAGGTGAGAAAAGGTACAAACTAATCACCTGTATCATATTTCCTCAATCAAATATTTTCATTTTTATTTTTATTTGTATTGTGTGTAAATGTTGGTGGATAAAGTGACAGTAAGCGAAGGCGGATATTTGAAGGTAAATCCTCACCAGTATTTGGCCATGGACGCTGTGCTGGAGTCCAGCTTTCTCTCACTGTGGAGCTGAAGGCAGCTGTCAATAAACGCTCGAGCCACACAAATCTCTGTTTTCAGCTCGGCCAGTTTGTGCTGAACCGTCTACACAGACAGACAGAAAGGGAGAGAGAGAGAGAGAGAGAGAGAGCACAATAACCTAGTTTAGTTTCGCTCTACAGTTGTAAATATAAATTCCATATAAAAAAAAACTTTGTCAGTCAATCTTGAACTTTGAGCACACTGAGAATGGCCATCATGTACAATGCAGCCGAGAATTACACAAAAACAAGGCACTGAAAAGAGTAAGTATACATTCCGGATAGTGAAAGTTAATAGCAGAATTAAAAGAAATTAGAGTTAAAATTTAACACGTTTTGTCTAATTCCCACCTGCAGGTCAGCGATGGTCCTGCCGAAAGCCTTCCTCTGCCTCACGTAGCTCCGCGTCTCCTCAAACATGAACTCACAGCTGGCCAGAGCCATCGCCGCTATAATCAACCGCTCCTGAGAGAGAGAGAGAGAGAGAGAGAGAGAGAGAGAGAGAGAGAGAGAGAGAGAGAGAGAGAGAGAGAGGTGAGAGGTTATAAGGGGTGTATATTTGACTCTCAAGGTGGTGAATACACTAAATCAATTTTGGAATAGTAGAATTTATTAAAGTGCATTTTTTGTTGTTTCTCATTTTTAAAAGGTATATTTTAAAAGTAAAAAGTTCAATTTAAACGACTGGGCTATTTTCAAATGTAAAAATAATGCTCAACTGTACCAAAATAAGATAAACAAACCTGAAAAAATTATGACATTTCATGATGCAGTGAATAACTCACACTGACTCACTGTGAAGTCTGAAGGTGATATCTGGCTTGCTGACCTGTGATTACCCTGCAGGTATCAGCTCTTACCTGAGGAAGCTCATTCATGAGGTAGTAGAACCCTTTATTCTCTTCTCCAAGCAGAGCGTCAGCCGGAAGACGAACGTCTTCAAAAAACAGCTCCGCCGTGTCCTGAGGATTAAACCACAGAGCAGAAAGTACAGGTTTGATTTCAGAATTTAAAGCTGAAATCAGTCTTCAGCAGTTTCAGGTCATTTGCTGTTCAAATTCAACACAATCCAGAACTCGAAAAGCAAAACTTCAGGAAATGAATAATTCGAGATAGCAGAGTTCTTCAAGGTTCTTCAAAAGTTCTTTAGTAAAGACCATGGTTCTATATAGAACCATGAACACTCAGAACCATTTCCATGCTTAAATGGTTCTTTGCATGGTGAAATCGTTCTTCAGATGGATGGAGAATGTGTTGTATATGGTTCTATATAGAACCTTTTTGAAAATGGTTCTACATAGCACCAAAAAGGGTTCTGCTGGTGCCAAGATAGCAACAGAATTATTATATAGATGTAATCAAACAATAGAAAGAAAACTCTTTTTGGTGCCATCTAGATTTTTACACCCGCAAATGGTTGTTTACAGAACCACTGTCTTTACTAAAGAAGCCTTGAAGACCCATCTTTTATATGAGTGTTATCTGGCTGTGAGAACCTGGTCCACAGTGTCCATTTAAAACTAGCTGGTTACAAACGCACATTGAGCTCTTCTTTAAAAACAAATAATAATAAAAAATATATTAAAAATGTAGAGTATGGGTCCTTTAACACTGCAGATTGTACTGTGCACCAAATCAAATAAATCATAATTAGTGAAGGTCCCTTTATTGTAATGGATCAGTCATGTAAATGCCTGGGTTAGCTGTGTGTGTTCACGTGTGTGTGAGTGTGTGTGTGTACCTGAGCTTTGAGGCCGATCTTGTCCAGCTTGCGTCCCTTCTGGAAGCCCTTGGTTCCGTTGTCCACCAGAAACAGACTTAGACCATGAGCCATCGTCTTTGCTTGACGATTCGTCACGGCAACCACCAGCACCAGATCACTCATCCAGCCATTAGTGATAAAAACCTGAGAGAGACAGTAAGTTGGGGGGGTGAGACAGAAAGACAGAGAGAAAAAAAGAGCAACAACAGAGAGAGAGAGAGAGAGAGAGAGAGAGAGAGAGAGAGAGAGAGAGAGAGAGAGAGAGAGCGCAAGAAAAAAAAGTGCAAGAGAGAGAGAGAGAGAACAAAAAGAAAGAGAAAAGAGGGAGAGACAGAGTGTGACAGAAAGAGAGGGAGATGAAAAAGAAAAAAGAGTGAAGAGAATGAAGAGAGAGACAGAAAAAGAAAGAAAGAAAGAAAGAAAGAAAGAAAGAAAGAAAGTGAGAGTGAGAGAGAGAGATGGAGAGAAAGAAAGAAAAATAAAAAAGTGTGATGGAGAGAAAAGAAAGAAAAGAAAGAAGAGAAAGAAAGAAGAGAAAGAAAGAAAGAAAGAAATGTGTGAGAGAAATACAGAGAGAAGAAAAAGAAAGAAAAAACAAGAGTGAGAGGGGGAGAATGTGGGGGAGAGAGAGAGAGAGAGAGAGAGAGAGAGAGAGAGAGAGAGAGAGAAGAAAGAAAAAGGAGGAGAGACAGGGTGAGACAGAAAGAGAGAGAGACAAAAAACAGCAAAAGAGAGGGGGGAGGTAGAAAGGGAGAGAGAGGAAGAGAGAGACACCGAAAGAAGAAAAAGAGAAAAGGAAGAGAGATAGAGGGTGAAGTAGAGAGAGAGAGAGAGAGAGAGAGAGAGAGAGAGAGAGAGAGAGAGAGAGAGAGAGAGAGAGAGAGAGAGAGAGATGGTAAGAAAGAAAGAAAGAAAAAGAGAAAGAGAAAAGAGAGAAGAGAAAAGAGAGAGAGAGAAAAGGATAGAGAGAGAGAGAGAGAGAAAACATCGTTACTGAGGAAACAAAAACCTTCATTTCCGTATTCTGAGAACTTAAGCTTACACTGTGTAAAATTGCATTGACAAATTGAAATTTCCCAAACTGACTTGGATAAATATAGACATACAATAAATACATATATGAATCTACATACATGAATTTGGGAATAAATATTTAAACCCATTTTCACATTAGCCATCAAGTGCACTTTCCGCCTGTGATGGAGTTTTCAGTTTTTGCGCGATGCTTTTTTTTCTTCAGTGATGTTCATGGAATACATTTGAGTGGAAATGTGTTTGATTTGTGAGTCAACACGTATTAAAGTGTATTTATTGTGTTTAAATTCTGTTTATTGTGTCAGTCATGCAGAATTGTTTGATATGAAGGAAGCTGCAGTTGTTTGTTTAATCTCAGTACGGTCTTGAATGTATTAATTAAAAATATCCATGTTTATTTCCATTCTGCCAGTGGACTGGCCACTAGGGGGCCCTGTGGAAAGATGCTAACTATTTTAACACATATTGAAGTACGCACGCAATAAAGACGTTACCTTATTTCCATTCAGAATCCAGTCACTGCCGTCTTTCCGAGCGTACGTCTTCACTCCCTGAAGGTCACTTTAACAGAGAAGAGCATATCAGATAAGTCAGGGGTCACAACCCAAATGTTAAGATAAGCCATTGTGTTCTCTCAACAAAAATCTATCAACTTTGGGAGCCACAACATTTTATGTCCATTTTAGTGAAGTAATGTTTTACCATCTTGGCCGTAAATATGTCTCGGTATATGTTAATGTACTAGTATAGGCTAAAAAATGTAATATAAACAAAAACACAGAGTTACTTTGATCTGCTTTAAGCTTTAGCACAGCTATAGTCGCTTTTCTCACATCTCCGGCAGGAAACTTTCCCGCAAAAGTAGAGTTTCTTGTAAAATGTCTCTTAATGTTCGACCTTTTTAACCAGCTGCTTGTTCAAATTTCCATGTTCCACCCTAAATGGTGCCTGAGACTCCAGAATGTAACTGCTGCACCATTTAAGGTGGAACTGGAAAATGTGAACAAGAAGCTGGCAAATTCAGCCTGGCGACTTTTTAGAGTTTCAGTTTCTCACTGCAGAGTAAACGTATCAGGAAACCAGCTGGAGTGATTATAAACGCAAATCAGTCAGTTCGTCTTTAAATTATCAATTTTGATCTTGAATCTTTCTTTTCTTTGCTATTTCTTTTGTTACTAGCTAGGCGAGTGTCTGCGTTGCTATGGTAACCAGCAGTCTGCGCTGATCTTCAGGGTTAAAGGGTGAATTAGCAGTTCTACATAAACTCCAGCGTTTAAGATAATTTATTATTGAAGCTGTGTTAGAATGATCATCAGAGCGTGACCTGTGACAACATATTTCGATTTATTACCTTTTTACAACTTCAAATTATATCACCAAACAAAAACTTTGTCAACATCTATTATCTAAAAAGAAAAAAAGTTTTCAGTCTGTTCATCTCACTTTTTATTTTTTATGAAATCATCATTTTTATTGCAGCAGCATTGGACGGTCTAGAAAGACAGACCAACACTATTATAAAATACTTACTTTAAATTTTTAGAAAAAAATATCGATACTTGACGTCTATGTATCGATACAATACTGCCACACAAAATATCGTGATACTATGCTGTATCGTTTTTTTCCCCACCCCTATAAGAAACATAACCTCCACAGTCTCTAAAACAGACTAACCATCATTTCCATAATGTCAGTATGTACGGTAGCACAGGGTGGCAGCTAATTCTCTTGGATCTGCAGCCCTGCTTTAGTAGCTAGCAGTGAAGGCTACAATGCTAACTCAGGTCACTAGTAATGCTAAAACAGCTGAAGTTGGTGAACTTCCTATTTATCCCCAGTAACGCTTGCCGGGTGGACTCTCACCTGCCGGCGCCTGGCTCTGTCATGGCGATGGCTCCGATACATTTCCCAGCAGTCATCTGAGGGAAATAACGCTCCATCTGAGCCTTAGAACCGTAATGACTGATATACGGCATCACAATCTCAGAGTGCAGGGAGAAACCGGGGCCGGAGCAGTTACAGTACATCCTACAGCACAGACACATGGTACACTGCAGTCTAGAACTTGACATACACACCCATTATAGTACGTTCTAGAACACACACATCCACTTGCTGCAACACATTCTAGAGTACTGACATAAGGAGCCACAACAGCACATTCTAGAACGCATGCATACATCTAGAACACATACATTAATACACTCAACACTGCACTCTTCAAAAATATATAGTTATCAGAGTGAGAGAGTAGTGTCGAGGGACAGGTGGGACACAGACAAGACACAGAGAGGTGAGACACAGAGAGGTGAGACACAGAGAGGTGAGACACAGAGAGGTGAGACACAGAGAGGTGAGAGACAGGTGAGTCACATACAGGTGAGAGACAGAGAGGTTAAGGAGACAGGTGAGATACACAGAGGTGAGACACAGAGATGTAAAACAGACAGACACGTAGGAAACAGACAGGTATAACAGACACATACAGGTGAGACAGAGAGGTAATACAGACACATACAGATGAGACAGACAGGTAAAACAGACACAAGCAGATGAGACAGACAGGTAAAACAGACACAAGCAGGTTAGACACAGGAGGTAATACCGACACAGACAGGTGAGAGAGTTAAGAAACCATAAGCAAATAAAAGAGACAGATAAAACACAGACAAGGTAAAACACAAGTCAGTGAGACACAGTGACAGGTGAGCCGTACTTACTGTTCCTCCCACACGATGGCAGCAGAGAGCAGGTCTCCCCCGACACCGCCCTGTTCAGCAGGAGTATAAATACCCAGCAGCCCCTGCGCCCCCGCCTTCTCCCACAACTCCCGACTCACCTGGCCAGCCTTCTCCCACCTACACACACACACACACACACACACACACACAACAACTTCCATGTAAGTCGTGCGTCCAGATCAAGAGTCTGAATCCCAGTGATGCCACAACCAAAACTGTCACTAATGTCAGCGATAGTTTCTGATGCTGATAAATGTGCAGGTGAACCGAAACATTGGACTGGGTCCTGTCTGCAGTAGAAACCACAGAACCGGTGCACTCACTCTGCGTGGTACGGCACCACCTCCTCCCTGAAGAACCGCCGCACGTTCTCTCTGAACAGGTCGTGCTCCTCAGAGAAGATCCGCCGCGTTCCGATGTCCATCATTGTCCGGGCCACGGACGTCTCTGGACGGAAGGGTGCAGTAGTGTGCCCCTGCAGGGACTCAGAGTGCTGCATTCTGGGAAATGGAGTCAACACGTCAATGGTTCCAAAGGTCTAGAGTACAGCAACATAAAGCGCTTCATAAAACAGCGTTACATAAAACAACAACTGCTGACCAACACTTTCGTCCAACTCGGATGAAAAAAAGTGCTATTTGTTCTCCAAAACCAACACAAAACCTGGTTTCTGGCTTTATTCTAGATTCCTCATATCCCTCCCCCAAGACCTGCAGCTAAAATCCATCAGACATCTCAGACTTCACAGTGAAGAAGTCTTCTGGAGGCTTTGGGTTTGCCTCAAGCCAAAAAACAAAAAAAGAGGCAATAAACTGAATTAAAGGAGAATTTGACACAAAAGCATTGTGAAGCATCTAAAAGCATCTTTTTTAAAAATCTGTATGTGTCGGTGCAACAAAGATGAGGAACTTCACAAAACAGCTTAAAGGGGAACTCCACCAATTTTTGGTTTGGTTTGGTGTGAAACGCTCCAGTTTAGAGAAACTTACAGAGTCAGAATTGTGGTGTGGTGAGAATTCACAGTGGTGGTGATAGAAACTAGACATCCACCTCTAAAAGCTCCCTCACAAAAAGTTATTACACAAAATGGTTATAAATTAACTGCCTGATGTCCGAAACTTTGTTTTATGATAGTTTTGAGAAGATCTTTGGCCTTAAAATCCATTCATGGTGGAGGGATACATGCTGAGAAAACATTTTTTCAGATTTTCCACTATTTTCCCATCATCAACATTCCATATAAACTCAGAAGACTCGTGTAGGTTCACTGGTGGTTTTGGATAGTAAATAAAATGTCTATATTTGTGTTGTGGTCATGGTGACCCCTGGTTCCTATCACCACCACTTTAAAGACATCTGAACTATTTCACACCAAACCGCTCTGAATCACTGTTTACATCTTACACACTCAATTATGGAGGGCATTTTTAAATATTGGTGGAGTTCCCCTTTAAGGGTGACACGAGACAAAGTGCAAGGTCACTTCTCTTGCCAGCAGTCTACAGAAGCCTGCATCTGCCACTGGAGAAAAAAAATATATATAGACATGTAATGAGTCATAATAATGAGAAGGTTTTCCATAATTATGACTTAGCATCTCATAACTTTGGCAGAGCATCTCATTATTATCACTTATATGCACAATAATGGGATTCTATCTCACAGTTATGAGAAACTGTTTAAATATCTCATAATATTTACTAACTCTCATAATGAGAGAATGTTCTCATAATTATAAAATACTAAGTCATAATCATGAGATAGTAACACATAATTGCAGGTAAGTCAATTTTGAGATACTAAGTCATAAGCATGAGAAAGTAAGCGATCATACTTATGACTTAGTATCTCAAAATTGACTAAGTCATAATTCTGAGAAACTAAGTCATGATTATGAGACAGTAAGTCATAATTATGAGAAAATAAGTCGTAATTATGATAGTCATAATTATGAGATGCTAATCACGTTATTATTAAATAGCAAGTGATAATAATGTGAATGCATGCCCTAACTCTGAGATACTAAGTGATAATTATGGAAAACGTTCTCATTTTTATGATTCTGGGTCCAGCGGCTGCAGCGGGCTTGTACGCAGTGAACTTTCCCCCAGTAGCCTCGATTATATAACACACTTCACTTCAGAACGGAGTACGTGACTCTCGGCAGACTGAAGAACAGACAGAGCGCTTTACTCAGACTGAAGACTGAAACGCTCTTAACTCCACAGAGCAGGAAGCAGCAGCGAGTCAGGAAGTTTATTAAATCACAAAAGAGTGAAAAGTGGGTGAGATTCAGTGTAACTCACCTGCTGCCCGCCGCAGCGTGTTTCCCCCAAAAACACACATTTTTACCGGGAGCTAAGAGCGACTTCAGGACTCTGGAAGGAAACATGGTGGAGAGTGAAGTGCAGAAACTCAACAACCGCAGATCTGGATCTTTTTATTTATTTGTTTGGTGACGTTACAAGTGAAGCTCCCCACACGCTTTTATTCCCACCCATTTTGAGGCAAGCCACGCCCCGTCCGGATTCTACTGCATGTCAAAATAAAAGCCCGGAAACGTCATTTTTGTGTGTGTGTGTGTGTATATATATATATATTGGTGGTGGATTGATTGGTTCTTGTCTGACACTGCCAGCAGGTGACTTTTTTTGAGGCTTCTAAAAAAACCCTCAGTAGCTTCACTTCTCACGAGAATAAAGAATCTGAAAAAAGAACCCAACCAAATAGAGCTATAGCATGTCCCAGCATATATATACATTTTTTTTTCCGTTATGTAGCTTATTTATCTATATATTTATACACGGTTTTATTCCCGCCAATATTCTGTTATTCTACTGCGAATTCCGAATTCTACTGCGTGTCAAAATAAAAGCTCAGAAACGTAATTTGTGTATATATATATATATATATATATATATATATATATATATATATATATATATATATATATATATATATATATATATATATATGAGAGAGGTGGATTGATTGGTTCTTCTCTGACACTGTCAGCAGGTGACAGACATCTAAAAATAACCTCATTAGCTTCACTTCACACCAGAATAAAGAATCTGAAAAAAAAACCTAACCATATAGAGCTATAGCATGTCCCAGCAGTCGAACAATAATAATAATAATATTATTATTATTATAACCACAACTGAAATGAACCTTAGGGCATGTTTCTGTTACGCCTTACTGTATCTGTGGTACAGGATACAGGTTCCTGCTGCCCTATGGTGGAGGTGTACAGTTATGACAACACAAGTAACGAACTACACTTCTGGTATATCTGATGTATTTTTCAAGTGTATCTAATACTCAGATGTAGTAAATAAATTTCCTCCTCAGTCCCAAGACTTGACACTTTAAAAACAATGTTTTGTTATGACTTTTGCTCTCTGCTGCGTATAAAACAACATAATATGTGAATCATTTTTTTCGTTTACAGGGAAAGATATAAATTAGAATTCATAATATAAAATTCAGTGTCCAGTATATCGGACATTTGGACATTTTGGGCACATGAAATATATAGATCATAAATATATATCACATTTACAACACATTATCCATCAATCTGAAGAACCATTTCACCATTGAGTGTTCATGGTTCTGTATAGGACCCAAGAACCCTTTTAGAACCATCTTTTTCAGAGTGTATGTTGGTGCTTTTCTCTGTTATCTCTAATGTAGAAGCCAGTTTAGCTGGAGAACATTTCCTGCTGACTGCTTTACTGGTGATAGGCCTGGGCAATATTACAATATATATCGTTATTGTGATAAATTATATCACAATACAATTGATGCTCTGAACATATGGTGTATATCATCAGTCCTTGTAGACACTGACCAACTCCATGTTTCACTATAAAAAGAGCAAAATTAGGCCCGTTTAAAGGTGCAGTATACGATTTCAATCCAATACACTTTTAGCGAGTAGCTCCTCACTGTCCGCTAGCTCTCTAGTCTGGTGTTGGTACGAGAGCTGGTTTATGAGGAGTCTGACCTCTTCCTTTTTTCCACCCGTTATATCAAAAACATGACTGCAAAACACCAGAGGGCGCCAGCGAGCAAGTCCTTAATGAATGGGGGCAAATGGAGCTAAACGCTAAAACGAAAAGTTAAAATAGTTTCTAATCACTTACACAGAACTTTCCTTTAATTTTAGAAGTAGAAGGACGTATTTCACTAAAAAAACAAAGAAAACTTGCATGTTTCCTTTTTCTACAGCAAATAGGTTTTGGGCAGCAGGACTCTAACATTACTGCTACCAGTGGTGGATGAAGTACACAAACCATGTGCTTGAGTTAAAGTAGAGATGCCCAAGGTAAAATATTACTCCAGTAAAAGTAGAAGTTCCTCCCTTCAGACCTCCACTTGAGTAAAAGTACAAAAGTATTTACCTTCAAATGTACTTAAGTATGAAAGTAAAAGTACTTAAAGATTAATTATGGCTCTAATGTCCTGTTATAATTTTTGTAACAAGACTCGCTTCATTAACTCATTTTAGGTGAAAATACTCCAGTGTCACTCTTGGTAAACCAGTCTTTTAATAGAATGTCATTAATTAGTGACGCTGATGTCTATTAAAATTATCATATGAACAAAACACTGAAGGCAAACAGTTTCCACTAAGTGGCCATGAAATAACTTTTTGCGAACAAGCAAAGTTTCGGTTTAAGATTTAACTGCGACTTAGTTTAAATAAAAATTAATTTAAATTTAATAAAAACTTGCTTTAATCACAGGTTCACAAATGAGTTTTCCTTTACTGTATTGCATCTGTAGGTCTCTGTTCATAAACATAAACTAGCAAAAACAAATTTACTATGAAGTGAAATAATGTTTGTATAAATTCAGAAAAAAGACACGTGTCAGTACATATTTCTATATTGTGGTCTATTTACACAAAGTTTGGTTAGAGTCAGGAGTTTCTTCCATCATTTATGTTGAATAGACACTCCCAAACTTTTACGCTGCTGCACTGACGTTGAACCGTATTCTTGCACTGGGTAGCTACGTCCAACAGGTCAAAACAAGCTCAAAACAAAGTGCGCGCTGTTCCCTGATTGGTGTACTTGTTTTGCACTTCTTTCATTTTGACATTATGTTTTTATACACACATAAACCAAAAGGAACGACAGACTTCTCATAATGTAGTGGAGCAAAAAGGAAGATATTTGACTTTGAAATGTAGTGGAGTGAAAGTAAAAAGTCGCCTAAAATGGAAAAACTTCAGTAAAGTACAAATACACAAAAAACTACTTAAGTACAGAAACTAATTACATTTACTTAGTTACTGTCCACCACTGACTGCTACTGAGCGCTAGCTGGTTAGCATTACTGCTACTGAGTGCTGATTGGTTAGCATTACTGCTACTGACTGCTGATTGGTTAGCATTTCTGCTACTGACTGCTGATTGGTTAGCAGTACTGCTACTGACCGCTGATTGGTTAGCATTACTGCTACTGACCACTGACTGGTTAGCATTTCTGCTACTGACTGCTGATTGGTTAGCATTACTGCTACTGACCGCTGACTGGCTAGCATTTCTGCTACTGACTGCTGACTGGTTAGCATTACTGCTACTGACCGCTGATTGGTTAGCATTTCTGCTACTGACCACTGATTGGTTAGCATTACTGCTACTGACTGCTGACTGGTTAGCATTTTTGCTACTGACTGCTGATTGGTTAGCATTACTGCTACTGACTTCTGATTGGTTAGCATTACTGCTACTGACCGCTGACTGGTTAGCATTTCTGCTACTGACTGCTGATTGGTTAGCATTACTGCTACTCAGTGCTGATTGGTTAGCATTTTTGCTACTGAGCGCTGGTTGGTCTTGTAATGCCCTGAAATATAATTATAGGTTATATGCACCATTTAAGGTAGAATCGGAAAATCTGAACCAGCAGCTGAGGTGCTGAAATGTAATTGCAGCACAATTTAAGGTGGAACGGGAAAATTTGAACATGCAGCTGAGCCACTGGTATGTAACTACTGCATCAATTAATGTGGAACGGGAGTTTTTTCTCTGTTTCAACTGACGAGATGCCTGAAAAAATGAATTTTGTGACATATTGTGTATCGGGAAATTTCTTAAATGCTCAGGATATTATATTTAGCCATATCGCCCACCTCTAACTGATGATAGCTGTCTCACTTTTTTAACTGTGTTGGCCAGAAGGATGGCCATATGTCACAGTACCCTTTGGCTACTTCTCTGTGACATTGTACTGGACAGAGTTGAGGGTGCACTGCAAATTCTGATCAGCTCTTTAAGCTGCGGCTGCCTTAAAGTACGGAGTTAAAACTCCAGCAGTCTTGGCTCTTTATCTCAGTTTCAGCTCCGTTACGCTGCAGTGGCGTCAGGTCGCCGCTGAGTGGCGCTGTGTGGTCATTTTTAAACTGGCTGTACTGACTGTAGTGGGAAACAGTAAAGAGCAGGTTTGTACTGTAAGCTTTACAGTCATTTAGTGCTGATTTACAGTGTGAATTGTGAACTGAGGCAATTTATTACAGTTTAAACATTTTTGCAACGTAACATTTGACAATGTCAACTACTGTCATCATCATCATCACCATTATCTTGTTTATCTTCATCATCATCTTTATCATCATCTTCATCAACATCATCACCATCATCACCATTATCTTCTTCATCTTCATCATCACCATTATCTTCTTTATCTTCATCATCATCATCATCATATCGTCAGCATCATCACCATTATCTTTTTTTCATATTAGTTATTTACTCACGTCTCCATGGCAACTCCGCTGCTAGTACACTACTGTGAAGTTTGTTTTTCTTTTTTCTTCTTTTTTTTTACTATTTTATTACTGTCATCATTTTCTTCTTCATCTTCTTCCTCAACATAATCCTTTTCCTCCTTTTCTCCATCATTATCATCATCATCCATCATCATTATCTTTTTCTGCATCACCACCATCATCATCCTCAACTTTATTAATGCCACTATCTTCATCACCATCATCTTCCTTATTATAATCACCATTACAATTATCATCATTCATCATTTTAATGATCATATTCTTCCCCTTTTCATCTTCAACATCCTTTCATATTTTTTATTTTTCCTCAACTTCATCACCACCTTCATCATTACATTCTTTATTTTCTCCTTCTTTTGTCATCTTTTTTCATTTTCGAAATCATTCTCATCTTCATCTTTATCATCATTTTATTTAATCATCATCTTTTTCTTTTTCTGCTTTTGTTCATCATGTTCTTCTTCATAACCTTCTATCACCCTTTCTTCATCACCATAATCATGTTCTTTGCCTTCCTCATCCTCATCCTCATATTCAACTTCTTCATCATCATTTTCTTTTTCCTCCTTTTCTTCATCACCATCATCATCATTTTGTTCCCACCACCAGGTGTCGCGCGCACGGAAGGGGGAATTGCCCCCCCACACTCACACACATTTCCCTCTCCCACTTTAAACACACTCCTAATGACGTAAAAGCGCGTGTCTTTA